AGAGAGGGAGGGAGAGAGAGAGGGAGAGAGAGAGAATATTATAATATTATTTTCGTTTCACAAGAGATTATTATAAGTAAAGGAACATATTGAATACATGATGGACGAAGACAACGAGATTTTCTTAGATGGCACGACAATTCAATTGTCACAGTGGCAAAAAATGTCAGTACTTTGGAACCTCTTGTGAACACGAAACCAGGTTTGTTGCAGCAAACAATCACGGACTGTTTTACGTACTCTCACAGCGCATGCGCGAGTGCAAACTTGGCCAGAAACGAGTCCCTGGGATCTGTTGGAACAAGTAGGTACAAAAATCAGTCTCTAGGTACCACTGCTTTCGTTTCATCGGTGGTTGCAGAATTCTCCGCCAGAAGTCATTTTCGTATCGCATGTAAAAATCAAAGCAACCTGACCCTGGTTAGTTCCTGGTATTCCTGTGGTATTCACTTGCGCTTTACGTTTCTCCATAATTACTCGCTTATTTTCTTGACCTCGCTATCAATTACAGAATTTGAACCTGGTAAACTGTGACTTGCGCTATTGTTTTGATTATTCTTTTGGATTTCGGTTAATTGTATTTTTCTTAAAAATGACAGAGAACGCTACCAATACAGAACGGTAAATAACTAAATACATGTTTAGTAAGTCACGGCACATGGAATTTCCTTTAAATTACTTACCTTCCATTTCCCCAAAAAGAAAACAAATATCAAGTTCCAATATCCACAAGAAAATCCGAAAGATAGCTAACTCATCAAAATCCAAGAATCTAGATTTAGATTGATTTAGTCAACAAAAAAGTAAAATAAAAATTATATGTGACATAGGGAAGATGTTTTCTTGAGTTTCAGAATCCCTTTCCATCGTTTTAACTATAAATAAATAAAAAAAAATAAATTTTAAAGAAGCGCGGGATTAGTTATACTTGAAAAAAAACACTAGAAAATCAATGAACGTAAAATAAAGCAGGGTCAAATTCCAACATTCACTAGAAAAATCCGAAAGAAAGCGAAATCACCAAAAACCAAGAATCAGTAAAATGTAAAACAATATATATTTATATAGTGGACCACTATATATATATATATATATATATATATATATATATGTATATATATATATATATATAGTGGAATATAAAACAACAATGCAGAAACCTGATGGAAACGAAAATGGCGCGTCGTCGAAGTTTGGCATTGGCGGGAATTCGGGGACAGAAGTAAGCATGCGTGGATTTCTAGTTTGAGGGAGAGTGCATGAACTAATTCGGACTGGTTTCAAACTAATCAGCAACCTTGCTGGAACGCCCAACTCCCAGTCACAATCCCTGACTGCTGCTGCTGGAACGCCCAATACCAGACTACGCATGCGCGGACTAGTTCGGGAGTGTTTCGAACTGCTGCTGGAACAAACCTGGAATAACAGTAAGGAAAAAAATACATGAAATGGTTCAACAGCCCAGTACCATATTTCAGTACAATCAGGGAATGGGCGGTGTAGGTTTGCATGACAATGCCACTGCAAATTATAGGATACGAATAAGAAGCAAAAAATGGTGGTGGCCCCCCTTTTTACAAATGGATAGTGCTATTGTAAATGCCCGGAAATTGTATACCTTAGCAACTGGAGCAAAGGCAAGTAAAATTGATTCCCGACCAGAAATTGCACTCGCCCTTCTCCGAAGAGAAGAAGAAAATGGAATTAAAAATTTAATTCTGGGGCGTTGTAACCAGAAAAGTTGGTCTGAAGCAATAAAGAAAGACCTTGTTGGTCACATAATTCGTGACGTATGCTCGTCGCAGATGTAAAATTTGCAAAAGTGGAACTATTGATAAATGTAAAAAGGGCCAAGTTCATTTGCATTATGAATGTTTCTCACTACATCATGAATGAACTTTTTTGCAATATATGCTTGGGTTTTTATTGTGTATTACATTGAGAAAATAAAATATTGTTTAGAGTGTTGATCTGACTCATTCATACCGGAGAACTTCCAACATTGCGTGAACGCAACGTTTCATTCGGGCAAAACCAAAAATCGCAAAAATATTTGGAGCGTTTATTTACACTCTTTGGGGATTATTTATTAATATTACGGTCAGAAGTTTAAAAAAAGTAGGTATTTCAGTGCTTAGGAAGAAATGGGTTAATTAATTGGGTGTTTTGAAGGCATTGTTTATTGTATTTAGAAAATTTATATTTCATAAAATATGATAGACCTGGCCAGTGGGTTAGTAACGATTATTTTATCAAAGCTTTCATAGTGTTTCATTAACTTTGCTTTTTAGTTTTTTCCCCCAAGCATGTGTTCAATCTGAAATAAATGTCTGTCAGTTCACAATCCATGCTTGTTCATTATGTGAATAGAATGAAATTTCTTATCATGTGGTATTTAAAGTTATTAATAATCATTTCTTTATTGCAGCTGATGATTCGTTACGCTGACATTACTCGTGAAACTATCAATTTGCTTCTTGAGAATTGCCCTAATCTCACACGTTTGGGCGAACTTGGAGGCTGGGATATTCGATCATGGGAACGTCGACGAATTAGTGATCTTGTCCTCCGGCAAAATTACAAATTGCATCTAGTTTTGTGTTCTCGAAATGCTGATAGTATTATTATTGATATTCTAAATGATTATACAAGTTCTGATGATGAACTAGGACACTAATTTTTAATTATTATTTTAATAAATGTAAGTTGAGTAGGCATTCTATTAATATATTGAACTTCCTTTGTCTTCCCGTAATTCACTATCTTATAGTGATGTTATAGATACAATATTTGTATCGTATTTTCTGATACGTATGATTTGTTTTGAAATTTAAAGAAGTCATGTGTTTTCATGAAAAGGTGTCAATTTGTGTGTTTTTGTTTCTTGCATTTCTTAGGCCCAAAGATTGCAAACTATATTTCCTAATTATTTTGAATGTACATTATATTCTTATGCTTGCTGCAATTTGTAAGAGGCTATTCCTTGTAATTTATGAGCATACTTCATGAAACAATACAATGAGATGTGATGAAGGAAGTGAGAAAATGTATCTTTCTGGTACGTTGTTTTAGAGTTTTTTGTATTAAAAACTAGTCCAAATGTCATCCTGATATTAAATAGAAGACATTTTCAGAATTTTTGAAGCTCAATTTGTATATAGCCTTATCTGAGAAATAAAATAGATCTATTCTTTGAATCTAGAGCTGTATGTTTTTCCTGAGAGACTTGTCTCTGTTCCTGTCATGTGATTGTTCAGGTTGCATTATCTTGTTACTTATTGAGAATTTCTGACTTGTTGATATTTGGAGAACTGTGGTTTTATTTGTGGTAAAATTATATTTCTTGAATGATGTTGAATGCTAAGTCATTGAATGGATATTTGTGAAAGCTTATCAAAATTATTTTCTCGATACCTGAAGGTGGCAGCTTTGGTAGGTACATATTGCTTTTAAGGCTTTCTTTTATTCCAGGAATATATATTTATAGATAACTCAGGATTGATTGAAATAACACTTATTGTGTAAAGTACGTAGCATTAACACGAAATAACTGTAAAACTAGAAAATCAAGAACAGATTACATGATTATAGGATTAGGAAATTACCTGTTGCCTGAATGTGGTTTGCTCAAGAGAATTGAATGAGAGTTGCTGAAAGTAATTTATTAGTCTGTTAGAAAACTTGAAATCAAAGTTGAGTAATTGTGTATTAGACTCTGCAATGACTCTGTATGAGCTGCTTTGGTTGTTTCCATGTAAAAACACTTGGGCTATTATGTTTTAATTTCAGTTTTGTATAAGCATTTAAATCTAAGAAACTTAAGAGCATTTATAAAAGAAGTTCCTTGGAGAAAATAAGAAAAACTATGAGGCTCATCTAGAAAGTAAGTTTTCCTCGGTCATCAACATAAAGAAAACAATTTCATGGAAAAACTTTCTTGTAGCAGATAAAGTACATATTGCACTATTTTCCCACATTATCACCACCAAAATTGAGACATTTGTAATAGCATGTTCAATATTTGTATCTTTGTGTCATAGATGTCTGCTTTCTGAGGTAAATACCAGTATGTGATAACAGGCTGCAAATGTGTCATGTGATTCATAGTGCTGACTGGACATGAATTTCTTAACATATAGAAAATAAGGAAATTGCTCAAGGGGGGGGGGGGGAAGATCCAAACAATGGGGTGGATGATCATATGGCCAGTTTAAAACATATTCTGCAGGTGTTACTGGGAGGTGTTTGACCATCCACCCCATAGTCTGTCTCACTGCCCGTGATTTCCATCTTTCTCACAGCTCAAGAAACTCCTGTTGTTAGCGTTACATGAATTTCAGGGATGCAGAGTTGCAGGTGGCCATTACACCTGCTAACTACCCCAGCTAACAGACTTCTACAAAACAAGGATACAAATGTTGATCCCATGGTTTGACAAGTGTCTCCATTCTGGTTGTGATTGTATAAAAAAATGCAACATGTGCTGCCTCTCCAACTCTAAATTTTTCCAAGAAACAGTTTTCATTTTCTTGAAAACCTTGGGAAGTTTACTTTCTGGATACCCCTTGTACCTATTAATGACAAAAATGTAAGATGTGTATTTAGTAAAATGTATTAATGTTTTGAATGGAGGGATGAAGTTGGCAGAAGGGGATTTCTTTATTATATGAATGTTGACATTCTTGGTTTTGTTCTTTGCTTTCAAATTTTTTTTTTTTGTTCAATTTCATTAATGTATTTTTTACAGTGTTATTGTTTCTTTACATTTTGATGTAGAATTCCCCATTTTACATTTACAAAATCAAACATTGCCAGTGGGGGGTAGAAAAAGAAAAAAATTCTGTGGTAAAGGGACTCTGTTCCTACAGTTAGGCAGAAACTGTGAATATTATATTAATTTATATTATTAATTTTTTTTTTGTGTGTGCCAACAATATCTTATTGTGAAATGAAATTTTAATTACTTATTAGTACATAAATAAATTGGACACTGTATTGCAAACTTTGTGACAGAGAGCACGTAATCCTATGTTTATGTATTAGGATGCAATAGAGGAATGTATAATGTGTAGTCGTTTTCGTATTCTAATAATTAACATTAAGATTTTATGTTATTCAATGGAATAAGGTGATCACTTCAACCTTTTGAAGTATATCTATGTAGAGGATAATTTATTTCTGTGAAATAGTTTACTGTTTATATTGCTTCTTTTCAAATTATCCCTATGTATTATGTTACATTCAATTCATTTCTAGGATAGAAACTGTTTGGAGAATATTTAAGAATGAATGTACTTTGCTCACCAGTGGTACATTCTTCCCTTTCCTTTAAATGGTTGTCTTTGTGTGGATCTCTGCTGTAAATTATAAGATAAATCCTACAGTGAAGCCCTTATTAACTATAATCCTGAGGAGCAACTTGTTTCTTTACTTTACATCAAGGTTTACTCTAAATGGATGTAAAGCTATTCCAGTAGCAGAAAGTACCAATTTAAATGTATGATTTCCTTTCATTTCTATGTCCAAAAACCAGATCACTGATTAGTATAGCACCAGTAGAGAAAAGAAAACAAGTGCGAGTGACAGAAACCATGTGCATGTAATTACACCCAAAAATAAACAAACCAGCAATCTGCTCCTGGTAGGATTAATCTTGTATCATTGTGCTTTCGTCTTTCTCAGCCATGAGGCATTTGTATACCATTTGTCGACTATTGGTGCTATAGAATGGCACAGACTTTCTCATACTAGTTTTCTAATTTTTGTTCTGGCCTACCTGTTCTGTCTGGCCACATACTTTTGCTAGTTGCCATCTATTGCTGCCAAAGTACATTGTTTTAAATTTTTTCTCAATTTTACTGTTTACTAACTGAACTATTACTTTCAGAATATTAATGAAGAGTAAAACTTTGTCTTAAATGACAATTTTCATTGAAAATTTGGAGCCGTTTTTAAGAACATGGCATTTAAGCGTTACTGTAAATGTGAAATTAAGTTTTTGAAAAACTTAATTGGAAGTCATTTGAAGCACTTCTACTCACAAATGCAAAAGTGTTTACAAATCGCTAGTAACATGCATATTAACAGCACGAGATATCTTCAATGGCGCTGCAACCCAGGTTGGGCTCAGGCCTTGCCAATAATTCGCCTCCAATTTTCTCTGCTTTCTGCCGCTCTTCTCCATATTTTTATCCTCAACTGTTCTCTTGCATCTTGGGTGATGCCATCCAGTCATCTCTTGAATTGAATTGAATATGCCTTATTTTACGTGGCGAGACTCTTCGTTGGTCTCTGGCGGATCTCTTCCTTGGTCTTCAACTAGTCTGCCCCCAAACACCCTCTCTTCCATTGCTTTCTTTGGTATTCTCATAGATGGTGTATATTGCATGTGTCCTGCCTATTCTAGACAACTTAGTTTTATGTGTAAAATAATATTAGGAGGTTTGTGTAGAAAATATAGCTCTCTATTACTAAGCCTCTGCCATTATCCATTCCCCTGTTCTGACCCAAAAATATCTCTCAGAATCTTTCATTTGAATACCATCAATTTGTTTTCTATTGTTTGGGTCATAACCCATGTTTCATACCCATAGCTAAGCACTGTTCTTATTACATACATAATTATTTATACATATTATTACTTACTTGTACATAGAAATTTTTGTTCTCCTGCTCACTTCTTGGTTTTTAAATATTCTTGTGGTAATAATTTGTTTTCTTGGCCACAATCATTTGTTGTATTTCCGTCCCTTTATTATGATCATAAGTGATCATGTAAGAGCCCAAGTATTTGAATTCAAGAATTTAAATACTTGTTGTATTTTGCCCTGATTCACACTTGTGATATTTTTTATTCACTTCCTGATTGAGGCCATTATTTTAGTTTTATCAGCATTAATTCTTCATCCATTTCCTTAGCCTTAATGTTTAGGTCTTGTAATGTTTCATTAATTGCCAATATTGATCTTCCCATAAGGTGTAAATCATCAGCATACCCAACTATTACTATTACTGTTCTATATAGGAGCATATTATTCAGATCTATATTAATTTATTTAACCATCCAGTCCAATGCAAGATTAAACACAAGGGGAGCCAATCCATCGCCTTGTTTTAACCCTTGTCTGATTTCAAATGACTCAGTTTTACAACCCTGTGACTTTACTACTCCTTCGGTTGTGGCCAGTGTTAAGTGTATAAAACGTATTAGTTTTACTGGTATTCCTTGATTCCTTGGTATCTCATACAGCTTAGTTCTAGCAATACTATCATATGCTTGCTTGAAATCCAGAAAAAACTGATATATACCAATATCATGTTCCCAGCACTTCTGTTATCTGCTTCACCGTAAATAATCTGTGGTAGATCTTCCGTTCCTAAAACCAGCTTGGTATCCTCCCTGAATGGTCTCTGTGTATTTTTCAAGTGTTTTCTAACAATATACATGTAGATTCATTACTCAATGGTATTACACCTCGACAATTGTGCCATTCGAGCTTGTTTCCTTTTTTGTAAATAGGGCATACAAATCCAGTATTCCATTCCATTGGTACAGTTTCATTCTGCCACATCTTAATCAGCTACCAAATAACTTGCACTGTATGTTGTCCTCCAGCTGTGATTAACACCAAAGGCCCCCACCAATCCCAAGGGACTTATTATTTTTTAACGACCTCACTGGGGTTTTCCACCATTTCTTCTTCATCTTCCTCTATCTGCATAGTTTCCTTCATAGATGTTCCCCATGCATCCATGGGATTCAGGAGCTACCTGAAGAACTCTACCCATCTTTACTTAATTCTTTCTGATTCACATACCATTATCCCCTCCTTATTTCTCGCAAAATTGGTCTATCCCTTCTTAAAACTCTTTATTCCTTTGTATACTTGTGGCATTTCATTCTTCTGAAAATGTTCCTCAATTTGTTGATATTTTTGTTGTATGTATCCTCTTTTCTTTCATCTACATTCTTTCATTGCAATCCTACATTTATCTTCGTATTCCATTCTTTTAGCTCGTGTTGGTTGTTACAGGTATTGGTGTCTACTAGTAGCTGCCCATTTCTCTTGCATTACCTTTAAAACATTCGTCATCGAACCATTCTTCTCTCTTACGTTCTCTCTCGAAACCAACTATGGCTGATTGCCTGAAGATTTTCTGAAGTCTAGTCCGTATTTCCTCAACACTTCCATTGCGCGATCTTTTTTCATCTTCCATCTCATTTATTCTTGCTTCCATTTCATCTGAATATCTCGTCATTGTTTCAACAAGGGCGTGGAACATTTAAAAAAAGCTACAATAAAAAAGAATAATCTGAATATCTCAGAGTGCAATGAACACTATATGTACAACAAGTTTGAAGAAAAACATTGGAGCCGTTTTTGAGAAAATTGCGATTGAGCGTTTCTAAAAATGCAGAATATTGAGTTCGTTTTCCCGGAAAACTTCTGAGTTTTCCAAAAACTTTATATGGCATTATTTAAACCACATGTCCTCATAAATTCAATGATGCAAACAAATTGCCACTATGTAAATATTAAATATGTGAGAGACAAGTAAATAATAATTATATTTTTGTAATTTTAAAAGAAAAAAAAAACGGAATAGAGAGTACTGATGTTTGTCATTTCACAGACTAAATTTAGTACTATTCCTACTAAAACTTTAAAGAAAAAATGTGGAGCCGTTTTTCTTTAAAAAAAAAAAGTTTTGTTGTATTGTAAAATTGCACATATTGCACGCAGTATTACGAAAAAAACTACTAAAATTTTCAAAAACATGCACGTGACCATAATGAAAGAACACACAATGGAG